CATGGCAATAGCAGCAGCACATAACACTATTGTCATATCATTTCAATGACATTGAGAGACTTCCCGAACTCCTAAAGCAATACACACACGCGCGCGCGTTTGAGCAGCAGCACTGCATGCCTGTATAATGTTGTACGAGCTCTTGAAACTACCCCGCTCTGGCGCGTGTATGTATAGATGATAGGTGTACATTGTCGTAAAGCAGTGCGTGCCACCCCGCAACAAACGGAGCGAATGGAGGGGGTGGTGGTAGAGCAGCGCGCTCAAACCTCGAAAACTTGCGGACGCGCCGACTGCCGTCAGTCTACGTGCGGTGCGCGTCGAGTGCGGATAGGCTCTCGCGATTTTCCTTTGCGTACGTGCGCTTTTTATAGTTGAAATTTTCCTTTGATTTTTTCAGTTTTGAGAGCTTTTATTATTTAGTTTTCGACGTATTGTCTACACCAAGTGCTTTCACAGTTTTCTTAATTTGTTTTCAAGTTTCATCCAGTGCTTATCTTGTGTGTAAAACGCAGTTCAAAATCGTGATCAACAGTGCTAAAATGAAAGTGTCATCTGTTACCGAGTTGATTGCTAACAAGCCAGTGTTTTGTGTGATGCAGAGGTTGAATGTTTTCATGAAGGAATTACAAGTGACAGGTGTGACTTGAAATGATGTTTAGTTTCCAAATCTCGCCAGTTGATGATTTCCCATCATCTCCTTGTGAAATTACTTAGCAGCACGTGGCTGCACAAATTCTCACGGTATGTTGAAGCTGGCAGCGCAAGCGACAGCGAGAATAATATTCATTTGTTTTTCTGGCTATTGTGATAGATGATGGTGCATTGAAATAAAAATTAATCCGCGGGCAGCATATAGATGCGTGTGACCAATCGTTCGCAATGTATAAGTACGCAGGGAGCCAACTGACAAGCAGTGGCAAGCAATCATCCCTTTCCGTAGAGAAACAGCGCAGAAAACAAAGGCCGTGCGTGTTACCGAACGGTGTCATCCGTCAAAAGTCGCGGGTTGGTGGCATCAGCTGCAGTGCCCATTGTTTTATCACCAACAGCGAAAAATGCCAGAGCATATATGTGCGTATATGCGTGCATTGTGATGTATATTCGAGCATGCGTGCACGCGTGTATGTGCAATGCTGTATCCTGGTACGCCGCGTCCATATATTGCTTTTATTTTCCTCTCATTTATTCGAAGCCGCGCGCGTCACGCAATCATTTCAGCAGTTCGATCTGTGCTTGCGCGTGATGAGTCCTTCTATATAACGTACAATATCCATGTATACGTTTGTGAGACGCAGCGCAGTACGTTGCCATTGACAGGCCGACTTGAAGCCAGAACAATGGTGCGGAGCTTTTGATTTTGAATTTGCCGCGCTTTCGCGCTAAATGAAGGTCTGCTAGAACAATCTGCTCGATTTCACACGGTGCAACATCCATCAGAACCTAAAGTTTTCCTGGTAAGCGATCTAACAATTTTTCTTCAACTCATTATATTTTCCTATTTTTTCAATCTTTCATTTGTAAATCACTCTAAAAATAGAAGAAACTTGCTTTATCGTGAAGAAGTTGATTTTTTCAAAAAAGCATCGAAGACAGTATAAAATTGAATATCTTCAAATTGGTTTTCCAACATTTCAATTCTATTAATTTCTACGAAGATCGACAAAATAATAATATACAGAGCGTTGAAAGCTTCAGAATAAATATTCCCCCCTACAACTTTAATTATTTACAATAAAAACTTGTAAAAATGTGCTGGAAAATTGTCGATTTCGACTAGTTTCTATGTGTGTCTTAGTAAGAAAATGTTTTTAGCATCGAAAAGAAATAGTTGCCTTATTACAAATATTATCTTTTCAATGATGCTGATCAAGCATTTGAACCATCAACTTACAAGTTAGACTTTTTAATTAGTTTATTTCATTGAAAAGAGCCAGTATCCGAACTTTTTACCACATCCTTTCATTAAACTGAAATACATAAATATTCACCAAACATTTTAACTGAATTCACCTCTTTTATTGGAAAAATTCCCTCTTTTGTCGAGAAAACATCTTTTATTTTCATGTATCTGCAACATCATTTTTCCTTTCTTCCTACACGAAAATAAATAAACAATTTCAATGAAAATTCCAACAATGGTAGGAAAATTGAGAAAAAGTATAGATACATGAACGGGGACAGTGTGAATGGATGTATAGATAACAAAAAGAACCGGATGTAAAAAACGTGAATGTACAGAGAGCTCACGCATTTCAAGGATCGATGCTAGATGAAAAAGCTAAATTTTCTTCAACAAAAATACATGCAAAGATGCAAAAATAATTTTGAGAAAAAATACTTAGATGCTCATCAATTGTTTATTGAATGGACTTATTTGATCATAATTCCTTTTTTCAAACCATCACGTGGATCCAGTTCAAAATTTCCAACATTTTTAGAAATAGCTGCGTGTCATATGCTATAATGAAAACAGCCGAAATATATTTCAGATTTAGTAAAGCAGCCTTACTTGAAGGGATCTTGAAGCGAGTAATGATTTTTTCACACATATGTACAATTTTCCGTTTCCGCCCATCATAGAAAGCTCGTGTGCAATGCGTGAAACGACGATGTGATAAATTTCGCGATAAGCCACCCCCACGGTATGAATCGACCGAAACTTGGGACAATTCTCTGAGCTTTTTTGTCCTATCCATCGCTTTCTTCGCTTCTTTTTTGTTCGCGTTCTCGCATGAATTCGATACATTTGGACCCTGCAGGTCGCTGCCGCTGCTGCTACTGAATGAGCTGCGCGCACACGCACCCGCGCGCTCGGAGCTTTTTTTTCAAAAGAGGCTTTCTTTTTATTGAGCGGGTTGCGGAGGAGGTGAAGAAGAGCGAGGGGCGCTCGTAGCGGTAGAGAGATAGCGTACATATTCACCGAGGCACAAACGCTCTACTCGCGCTTTTTTCCATTCGGCCTTTTGAATAAGGCTTGTGTTATTGTAGTCTGGCAGAAGCGGACAATGGCGCTGATGATGTATAAAATTAGCGGAACAAGTATTGTGCCCTGGTTATTTATTATGTATCATTTTGCTTTCTATTGCCCGCTCCTTTGCAGCACCATTGCCGTTACCATCGTCACCAACAGCACCATCAGACGGTTCCCCTGCATTCGGGCGTTATTGTTTAATTTAATTACGGTCATTAATATATTTTTTCCATCAGAATAGCATTTCGAAGTTATTTTTTTCTCGCAAATAAAATCAACGATTTGAACGTGCGTGTACCATGCATTGTTACGAATTTGATAAATGTTCCGGAAAAATGATACATATGAAGTTCATAAAAGGTTTTTTTGCTTTGTAACGTTTACGAGCCTCACTTTCGATAGTGCGACTCGATGCATGTGTATAAGCTAAATAATACATGATATCTTCCTCGTTCGTTCCTTTTCTGCAGCTTGGATACAAAAAGTTTCATCCATTCAGCAGTAAACAATAGTATATTCAATTTTTCAAGCACATTTTTTAAATTGCAATGTGATTCTTCTTCGTCTATGTATGCGTGTATCATGTGGTCGATGCTAAGCATGTGTGCGCGTTCGGTAACAAATGAAACCTAGATCCAGATGAGAGTTCCGCAATTACGTTCTTGTGTGCATAATCGACAATCGCATTGACACGAATAATAATGAGTACGCGAAGGAATAGTCGTCGAACATACTCGTCGCGCTTCGTCAATGGATCGCGCTACCATTCGACCCTTGAGTAATTCCTATGTAACGCATACGAAGGAGTGCGTATGTGTCGTAAAAAGAGTTTTTAATCAATCAAACCACGTACTTTTTGTCGAGGCTCGACTTGATTTGCTCTTAGTCTCCTTTGCCTTTTCTGTTACTTGAGAAACTTTTGTTCGTGGCAAGCCTGTCGAATGAAAGAGAAAAACATACACATAAGCTCACGTAGATTTTAAGTAAAAACCAAGGCATACATGCCTACGTCAAGCAACTCTTGACTGCCTGCGCTAGTGTATATAAGTTTATTAAAATCGGTATTGTTGCTGCACATCTGCGGCGCATTTTGCGCTGCTCTTTAATGCAAGAATCACACCTCGTAAAATTTTTAAAATCACATACCCCTTACGCGCGTATCCGAGACAGAGAGAGAAGAAGAGAAGAGACCCATGCTTGCATCATCGTATGTGTGCACTGTGCATGTGCAGTTTGGGTATGAGTTCGAAATGCATGAAAGTGCAGTTTACGTCGAGAGGGAAATGCGCAAATGAAAATGAAGCCTGCGCTTGCTTACTGCGGCCGAGTACCCAGGAGAAGGCTTTTAGTTGAATTTAAAAAGTTTGGGAATGTGAGCTTTTCATTATAAGCGCGTTTTGTTCGTATTTTTTTCAGCGAGTTTCTCACTGTATAGCCGCTGGAATCTACGCTGCAATTCGTATAATGCCTCGCAAAGTCGGAAGTTGTAAGGAGAACAAATCATACATCATATCATGCAGTCATGCGAGGGACATGGTCTTTTCGCTTCTTTAATTAAATACAATAAGCTTCATTCGAGCGCGAATCATCAAGGTTGTTGCATGGACATTATACAAGTGTAAACTGCTTCTGCAATATACACGTGCGCGCGCTACGTGTATACGGCTACACTGCTGCTGCGGCTAGGCGGCAAACAAATAGGGTTCGTTCCACATTCGCGCGCGTTGAATACATCGTTTTCGAATAGAGATAATTCCAAGTGACAATGTGGTCTTTGATTTCATATAGAAGAGCACAAGCAAGCTTTTGAATGACGCGCGAGAGCATCTTTTTCGCGTACACTCGCGAGCGTACTCCCTTTCATGTAGCTCTCATATCTCTTTGGCTATTGCATTTTGCGTATTTCTATTGATCCTGCCCACGCACTGCTTACTCATAATTTTAAGTGCGATTATTAATCAACGCAGCGTATTTTACGCCGTGAAAATTGAGCTGGGAAAGGGTATATTTTTGAAAAGTCAAAAAATTTGCTGTATTTTTCATGTATAATTTTTATTTTTGTGCTCAAAGGAATGTTTAGCAAAACACATCAATTTTCTTAAATTTAACAATTTCTCTGCTCTTTTCATGAAATTGGTGACGATCATACAATTTATTAAAAGAAATGATTAATCCATATAAAATTGCTGCTGTAACAAATGTTATTTTATACATACATCGTGCTGTGAACCTTGAATCTTAATTATTTTTGGTTTTTATTAAAAACGACTACAGTTTATAATTGTAGTTGTTGATTTTTTGTTCGAAACTCAGCCTTTTAATAGTTGATTTATAATTTTTGTTGAATAGCATAAAAACGCTTATTTTGTTCTTCAAATTTGTAATTGTATTTGCACCTCATGTTTCATGTATTTCAAGGGTTTATTTTGTTAACGTACTGTTACGTTTAGAATTTTATGAGAAAATGATATTACATTTTATGACAATTATTCCGGCAATAGACGACTTTAACCGTTTCCACATTTTTCTTACAATAATAAATAGTTCAACCTCTCTTAAAAACTACCTACTTTGAGTACGGCAAGGTAAATATCCGCATGTTTATAAATTGAAAATTTGAATATCTACTTGTTATGAGTAATGTGTGTAAACATATACAAAGCCCATGAAGTAGCTTATTTACGATGACTTTTCGTATTTGCTTGGATAATTAAAGTATCCGTTACTTGATTTCTCTTTACCGATGAAAAAAAACTTTTTACATTTTCATGCTTATAGCCGGGAATCGGTGAAGTTATTGTTTTATTTTCAAAATTGTTACATTTTCTCCTTTCCTCGTTAAAATTTCCTGGGTGATAATACCCTAAAACCTGTAATGTGTAAAATTGCTTTCTATCATTAGCTGTTAAGTGAAACATTGACTCTGATAAGTCTTCGAATCTTACCTCATCGATGAATACTTGTTCACGTAGTCGACTGACTTCCGTTGGTATAACGTTCACTGCATTAACGCGATTGCGTTCGAAAACTCTATCGAAAGACATAAGTGCAGTAAATAAGTTCGTTTCTTCTTCTTCATCTTCTGATGGGTCGCTTTCAATATAAATTCTTTCTTTTGGTGGCCTTATTTTTGACGATGATGCCTGGTGTATACACATTTTTGCACTCAAACAAGTATTACAGATTACGATAACAAAATTCGGTACGTTTGGCGCGAGATGGAAACGGTAGCGTCGTCAATTGATGTCTAATTGGAAACAGCGAAATTAGATTTTAAATAAATCGATGATCTGGAAGGGATACAGTATATCGCCATAAGAAGTGAGATTTATAGAATACTTTTATGATTTTCAATGCGCAATGCGTACAATTTGAATTTTTTTCTGCGATAAAAATACTTAGTTTTCAATGAATAATTTCGATTTTTTATATCATGGAGAACATTTATTTGTTATAAAGTATTTTTCATCATATAAATTACATATTAACAACTCAAAAATATAAAATGAGACCTGCAATATTTATGTATTCATTAATAGCTGAATAAAAGCAAAATTTCTCTACAATACTAAGCCCAAAGCGAAAGTTTTACTGAATAGCCTTAATAAACTCGCTGAATCTGCAGAAACATTTTGAGCAAAAGGCATACGATTATTCACGTGTATACTCAGTCAACTAGCACTCTCATCACTTGGTTTTATTTTAAATTTGATTTGCTCTTTTTATAATTGTTTTTTTTGGTGCTCTAATAATGGCTTGTTTTTCAATTATATACGTAATAATGTATAGTATATATACTATAATATATAGTATTAGTTAACCCAATTGCTTGGGTGATGTTCTAATTAATGCAGTCGTGGCGCGGCTGCTTGTTGAGCAGTGAAATTCTACAACCTATTAATAGGCTAAGTATCGGAATTATTTAAACTATTTTAGAGAATCATACCATCGTTTGATCAAGAATAAAAAGTCGCTCACCCTCTTACTTGTTGTATACGGAAAAATTTATTTTGTAAGAAATTAATTGTAAATTAAAGTCTATTAAAATTTATTTAGAAGTATATACTTCATTGAACGATTAATTCGTTTCAACAGGCTTATTTAGTTAATATCATTCAATTAACTTTATTCTCATAGGCAAATGAATAGTCTTCGACGAATTGAAAGTAATCAAAAACAAGCGTCATCTTCCTAACAGGCTAAAGTGTTGAGTAAGAGTAAGAGAAGGAGAAGCCGGCCAGCAGTAGCAATGGCAAAGGTGGCCTTTTGTACTTGAGGGGTAGCTTATTGTCTTGCGGCGCACCACTTCGAGACCACCGGGCGGCTTTCCTCCGTTTCTCGCCCGTACGCTATGTATATGGGCTATATCGCTTCAACTGTCCCCCCCCCCCCCNTTTTTCATATTTTATTCTGCTTTCCAAGAGTGAATATGAAAAAATGATTGAAACATGATTTTTTATGTAAAATTTGATGAGGAATTCAAATTTGATGTCAAAAATCATATTCATAAACTCCAAGTACCTTAATTTCTAACTTTCAGCCTCAGTGGCAAAAATAAATATGTTCGTATCCAGCGATTTGGCCAATATTGTAATATGTTCATCGATACACCAAAATACAACTTCTGATAAATTTTTGTCATCGGCAGACAAACAGACTTCATTATTGACCTTCATATATTCCAATAAAACATGATTTTTCTCTAGATTTCCTCTATTCTTGACACATATGAAGGTCAGTAATGAAGTCTGTTTGTCTGCCGATGACAAAAATTTATCAGAAGTTGTATTTTGGTGTATCGATGAACATATTACAATATTGGCCATATCGCTGAATACGAACAAGTTTATTTTTGCCACTGAAGCTGAAATTTAGAAATTAAGGTACTTGGAGTTTATGAATATGATTTTTGACATCAAATTTGAATTCCTCGTCAAATTTTACATAAAAAATTATGTTTCAATAACTTTTTCATATTCACCTTTGGGAAGTAGAGTTAAATATGAAAAATCAAAACAAAAAGAGGGAGGGACAGTTGACGCGATATAGCCCATATACATGTGCATAAGTTTTTAGATAGAGTCCAGCTCTGCTCTTCACCCCGTGTTCCAGTATCTATTAACAACATAACAATTATGCGTATCTCCACGAATTTCTACCAGATTTCGTTTTAATTTATCACATCTTTGTACATTTCTCATTTCCAGGATTTTTTGAAATCAATCGTGTAAGAATACTTTTCATTGAAATTCAGGTTTATTTACGTTTTTTTTGCCTTTTCAAAATAAATTTTCTTGGCGGCCACAGATTTGACTTGCTCTTATTAAAAGACACATGTCTTTACCTATTTTGATATGATATAAAAATATATTATAAACTTACCGGTATGCAACCGGTAAATTGCAAATTTTTGTTTCGATATAGTAATAAATTACGCACTATCATTATTTACACATGGTATATTTCAGTGCAATTCACTTCCTTTTGAAGTGATAGCATTGAATTTCTTACAATTAAATGGCTTGTCAAATTGATGCATCTCTTTGTTAGCACTAAATTTGTAAACTGCATTCTTAAAGTGAAACCATCAAGGGGTCAAGTTTTTGCAATATTTTATAATTAATATATTATGCGATGTAATATAATCGCATTCAATCCAAAGCTTCGCCGACCGCTAAATCTAAACCAATAAGAATTGGTACGTCATGCATCTAAGCCAAAGGGGGAATCATAGTGAAAGACAGCGGGGTGACTACTTTTACCCCACATACAATGCACTTAGATATTATGCGAAAAGTCAAAGAGTTTCACGCTCGGATGGTAATAAATGTGCCTATCATCCTGTCTAATAAGTAATATCGCTTCGTCGAAAGCATATTGTACAAAACAAATACATCCCTCGAGTCAACTATTGATCATGCAGTATATTCATTCGAAAACAAAGTTTCATTGCTTTTTATGTCAATGAGTCGATTTGATAGCTACTTTTATATGCTTGTGTCGAAGATTGTAGAACTTTAAAAAAAATTCTTTGTCAGATTTTCGCGTTAATTTTTCTCTTTAAAAGTCAGAATTGTTATCAACGTAATTCTCAGTTTATACTTTTACTATGTCACCGCTCAAGTATCGTATCTGCTTAATCCATCCCATATATTCAAGTACAATATTTATGGTTTGTAAATTTTCTGCTTGATATTGAATAGCTATACAAAAGTCGAGTCAGTTAAGTTGAAGCGGTCAACGTAAATATAACTAATTAGTTGTTCTAGGAAGAACAATATCACTGGATTCTGTAATCATAAACATACCGGTAAGTTTATAATTTCTGAATTATGCAAAATAAAAATTGATCGAATTAGCTAACAAATTAAATTCTATATTATATTTTCTAGGATTCGAATCCACTTACAACGCTCAACAACTCGAAGAATCCAGTAGCTGAATTGCATATTCTCCATACTGGGATCGATCCTGTAAAATAAGTTTAGCCATCAACCCCGATCGTTCCAGATGATCTGCATGCAGTAATCTGAAAAAAAAGATTGAATAAACATTAACATCGAAATAATCATACGATCGACTGTTTGAAACGATCGGTAAACTCCAGTGTCACATCCGTTTCGAAAAAGAGCGACATGGGTACCACCGATAAATACAATCAGCAAGAAATACAGGTACCAGTTGAGTCTGAAGCCAATCCGTTGGATATCCTTCTCAATCATTACAAGAAGTACCCACAATTCTATGATACATGGAACGGGTGTGTTTCTTTGTTCGCTTACGGAAGGAACCAACATGAATTTGTTGAAAATTACTACAAAGAACCCAATTTATGGAAATTTGACAAGCTATGGAATTTATCGGAAGATAAAGCCAAAGTCAACGTATCTACTTTATTCGAAAATATGCTGAAGGATTATAAACTAGAGCTGTGTACTCCTTCCAGAGAAGAAAATGAAAATGAAAAAAGTATATGGAATTGGTAGTGTAGCAATTTTAACGTTAAATTTAAATTGTTTGACTAGCCTTATTGGTAGTACTTTAATGTAGTTAATTATGAAATTCTTATAATTCGAATCAAACAGTTAGAGAATTCGCATTGATTGGCAACAAAATTTGTAAATAGACTTAGTTCTCACTTCGGAACGTAAACATTCAGTATTTTTATATCACTGCTATTTATCGTCGTTTTAAACTAAAAACCAAAAGTTAAAAATTGATTTACAAACTGACCGCTAGACTTTTAAATCAGGATCATTCTTCAAGGGTCTTCTGACATTCGACTTTTAGAAATAATACATCTTTTCTAAAAGGTAGACTAAACTTCATAGTTTTACAATTTAGGTTAAGTTTATAATTATAGAGTAAAATAATTTTGAACGAACCTCTAATTTAGTATATATATTTACGTATATATTTCAATACAAGAGGTATTTAATCGTTTTAAAATGTAACAAAATCTTCAAATCTTAAAATTGAACATCTCTTCCAGGATGTCTAGTTACTTAGGTCTAAGTAATTGTTCTTGTTATGACGTATAATAACAAAGTCAATCTCACCTTATTGTGACTGTAACTGCTGATTAAATTGAAAATTTCGGCGTCAATATTTTTTAAGACAGCATCAAATGTTTATAGCTTAAAAAATATTGTTTTATTGTTATATGTATATCATTATTAAAATAAGTCTAACTTAATTGTTTTTATTAATATAATATTATTTGACTCATGAGTTATTAAAATTTAAGTAGTAATATCAATTTTATGTGAAGGTACCTCTAATGAATAAAATTGATTATTTCTAAAGAAAGTATTTTTTTTTTCCTAATCAATTTTTGCAATAAAGTATCGAATCATTCGATATATGTCTCCCCCTTTTGACTTGTTATTTAGAGCTGCATCTTTTTTCAAAGTATCAAAACATAAGGTGGCGCCGAGAAATCCACATGAAAGTGGGTGGTAGGAGAAAAGAAACAAAAATAAAACTGTATGGCGCAGAGGGCAGTGGGCTGAGCAGCAAATAAAAGACTGCGCGGGGGATGACTGCTACTAGAGAACGAGAGAAATGCTCTCTCTCGCTCTCTTTCTCTCGGTCTCTCGCGCGATTTTCAGCTTGGAGCTCGCGCGCGCACATTCACATAGAGCGCGAGCACGAGAAAGAGACGAGGCCCGCGCGGCTTGCGTGACGTCATCCACTCTCTCGTTCGTTCTCGCGCATTGTTAGACGAGCAAGCATTGTAGTCACTATTGTGAGTCTCCGCCATTATTCTAAGACAATCGTCCGACACAATGAGACGGACGGGGGAGGATGAGTGCGGGCCGATTTCGCTTTGTGTGTGGTTCCTCCGTCACCCCCGCGGCTCCCACCCATTTCTGCACCTCTACCTCCTTCCTTATTCGCGTGTGTGTACGTACACTTATATTTCTCAGGCAGTAGTAGTAACAGCGAGCGCGTAACTCGCTCCTTATATTCCATACTCTTTTGTCCGCGCCTGCTTTTCTCTCGCTTACTACTCTATCGCTTTTATTATCAGCGACTGTGTTTTTGTCTTTACTCTTATACTCTCGTATGCGTGTGTGTACATGTACAAACTCATGCATTTGCTATTTGCATGTCTATACCGGCGTATACGTATAGACTTCTTTTTTTTCAGCCTCTACTGAAAAATTGCGACTGCGAAGCAGCATTGCAAAAACTTACGTCGGCAATTATTATTGGTTGATAATTTAAATTTTACTACGATTCAACAGTCTAAGCATTCTCCCTCTTTCCATCTTGATCACTGGGTCGATTGGTGCTCGGTCTACCCAACTCTTTTCGCGCTGCTAACGCCAACATCAGTGCAGTAGTTACATTATTCACAAGTCGCGCGGTAGCTCACGGCGTCCACTTCATCTTTGCGCGCTGCATAAAAACGGCTTTGATTTCTCATTCAATCGGTTCTTTTCCTTTGCTTTTCATCGCGAGCAGCAGCACGAGGCACAAAAGAAAAATAGCATCGAACACGGCACGCGCTTCGTATCGATTTTTTTGTTTCCATTTTTTTCGTGTGTCCCCTTTCTTCTTTTTTATTATTGTCTCGTTTTGCGCATCGAAGTGTAAATCAGTCGCGAGTGCTTCAATTTTTGAATAGACTGGAACTTTTCCAACTTTATTGACGGCTTTTGTACAAGTATTACATAACGATCGAACCGAACTTCCATTTGAGGTTTTCAAATGTTGCAGACGTCAATAAGGCATCGGGATGATTTCTATTCATAAAATGTTTTCATTTATTTACTCATAATATATTACGTCCCTGTATGTTGGTAAATCATAAAATATAATTTTATTTTTGTCATGAAAACAATTAATAATCCATTCTCACAGAACTTTCCGTAGATATTATTGAACAATTTCCAAAACTGCAACGTCGAATAATAACCCTTGAGATTATACCACTAAATATGTGTGTGTGTGTGTGTGTGTTTGTGTGCGGATTAAATGCATAATTTCAATTTTAATTTTTAGTATATCACACTCGTTTTGGTTCAGATGTATTGTAAGTAGCAAAATTAAGCAGTCAATTGATGAGAGTAGTTGTACTACGGCAACGACTCGCATTTTACTTCCTTACGTATGTACTTTCTGCGTGTGTACGTATGTCGCATGTAAGCTTTGACTCGCGATACAAAGCCGCACCACACGCATGCGGCAGCAGCGGAGTCACAATAAACCACGCGCGTGCACACATTGTTTATGTTATTCGACTTTCAGTTAATCTTTCACGTAAACACGTGCTGTTTTTCTTAATACTATTTTCGTAGCTACACGTTGAAATAAAACTTCTAGACGCTTAATGATTGTTGTAAAAATTTTCTTGTTACATATTGTGAATATGAAATGTACGATTAAATTACAAAAGAATTCTTAAACAAATGTTTTAAAAAATTTTTTATCATTTTTGTCAAAATTAAAAATTGAAAGATAATTATTCTGGGTTCACGGGAGATTTTTGAAAGTTTGAATCTTATATAAATCATTTTGCTTAAAATAAACAAAAAATGATGCGTAATGCTAAAAGGCAGAAATAAAAATAAGTCAGCGAAAATGATATTAAAAATGAAATATTAAAAAAAAAAAAAAACAAGACAAGCTGTGAAGTTTTTCTCTCTGAAGAAGAAAACGAGAGGGAGCAAGAGAGAGAGGGAGAGAGAGTGAGGAAGAGACAGAAAAAAGTGGCCTCGTATGCAAAGCGCCACAAACAGTTCATAGAAACTTCATGAGCAAGCTTTGCGCGGACTCGTTTGTCTTTCAATATACGTGTACGTACTTGGCGTTATTTTAACTCTATATAAAGCTACAACTCTTTAAAACTTGAACATTTATTTTAGCTTGAATTTGAGATTATATCGGATTTCATGCTACACAGTGTTTCTTAATCTAATACGATCCATTTCAATCAAACTTTGGCCTTAATGAAACGTGTTTTTGACCAAGTACTGACAGTTTTACGTTTGCTTTGTAAGTTGTTTAAGGGAATCCCTATGGATTGTTGCTAGATAGATAAAGACATATATTAATGGAACTTTTCATGAATATTAAGTCTTTAGAATTTTTTTTTAGTTTGAACATTTAAGGTCACCTGGATGGCCGATAAATAGTCGAAAAAAATGTCATTAAAGCTCAAAATGGTGTGGAATGGTGTGGAGTTCATACTGTGGAATAGTTAGTAAAAGTTTGATTCGATGAAGACTAATTTAATTGAATGAGATTCGTTCATCTAGCGTTTTTAAATGTTTTTTAATGATATTTTTACTTTCCCACTCGTCTAAATTAACAAATTTCTTAGTATCGTACTCGTGTGAATGCGAATCCATTTAAAATATGTTGAACAATACTTTTTTATAATTTTATTGCATTTGAAGGTTTTACAATCTTTACAAATTATATTATTCACTCATTTTCTCTCTCTTCATTCACACAGAAGTATTCAAATCAAAGAATATAATAGTATGAAATCGTTCAATGCGCATACAGTCCATTATACCGACCACAAATAATGATTTATATATACGACTCTTTTAACAATTTTTGTACTAATAATTTATTCGTAACCACGCGCGTACCCACACACACTTTCACGGACACATATAAACACGCACCTATAAAAAAATGAATTATATTTTTATGCGCCAATGACATTCATAAAAAAATCAACTTTCTCAAAATTTTCTTTCAGACGTATTGTAAAGATTTATTTGAAGAAATTTCCTTTCTGTGATGCTTTTTAAATCGAGGTTTCATATTCTGCGTTCAATAGTGCTTCAATTCAATTAAACAGTTGATCATGGGTCAAAAGCTAGTCTCCCTCTCTCTTGAGCCCTTTGACGTTATTCACTTGTAAACCTCGCTCCAAAGTAATAGAATGTCTTTATCATTGATCAGACATCATGGGTAGACGGTAGTACCCATTCATACTCGTTGCATTTGCAAACGCATATTATTAGCGAATCAATCAAGCACAAATTGTAGGAAAAAAATTGCAAAAGGAAAGATCAAAAGAAATGTGCGCTAGAGCTCTTCTTCTGTGATATTATCTGCCCAAAATTGTAAATTGTTTTGAAATGATTTTATAGTTATAACTATATTTATTAAAACTAAATTCACGATATAAACGTGAAATTAAAATTTTTACTTCTGATTTCAATTTACTAAAAATTTGTATTTTTGCACTAAAATCTATCATGGTGAACTAAATGCAATGTATCAGATGATAAGTAGTATTTTTACTCCAATTTGTTAAATCAAAAAGAACCATTTGAGCTACAGTCCAAGTTGTGAGAGCTTCTTCAGGACATAAGTAAGTATGGTCGATAGCTCAAAGAAGGAGGTAGGACCTCTATAGATTCATTTACAATTCAAACTATCACAACAGCAAATAAAATGTGCAAAAATAGATGATAAAAAGTCGTTACAGTAAAACATTTTTGACATTTACCATAAATCATCTATACGTAACTAATTGTTGACAGTAATAAGAAAATAATTCCGAAAAAATTTAACGTACTGTCATGCACAAGAGCGAAGAGCGGGTACGAAACGAAGAGGATGTATGTGGGTGTATCGGTTAAGTGGATGAAATTGCAAAACAATGAGGTGTCGGTAGGGGAGGTTTAAGACGAACGACAACAATGTGTGAGGGACAATGGAGCCGATAATGCGATAGAGAATGGACGCTTAGACAAAAGAGGTGATGCAAAGGTGTGCATAGAGCAAGCGCTCACCTGCATTTGCTCGTGTATATGTAAAATATATATGTATAGATACCCACTCACATATATAGTTCACTGAGTGCTCTAACCCTTGTGCAAACAGAGCTGTAACAGGGATGATGTGCCGATGGATTAGGTTACTTTGCGCGTGCAAGCTATTTTCGGAACGAGATATAAGGAATTGAACAATATATCTCGTTAAATATATAAGTTTTTAATTTTATTTTCATCACATGTTGAATATTTTATACAAACATTTAAGCATCGAAAATTTCACAAAAAAAAACATTATACATTTAATAATTTATTTAAATGTCGAACAATTAATATTTATCACGACATGACAGTTTCAATTTAACATTCTTTTATTTTTAAAATTTAGTAAAACAATTAACGCTCA